GATTACCTTACATACAAAGGATTAAATCAAGATTACCTAACATATAAAGGAATAAATCCTTTTTTTCATAATGAATTTCTTTTTTATTTGCACATGACCATCATAGTAAGTTATATACATTTTATGCATAATATAATATATATAGGCAGAAGATATACAACATATTAAAAAGACACAGTTGAAATAGTTTGATGCATTGCAGAATATGATTGCAGGACAAATGCTGCTAGGACAGAGAATACATATTTTTAATTTTTATAATATATATGGTGTTTGTTGTTTATCTTTTTTTTTGTGACAATAAAAGAGTCCAGGGGTTCCAGCAGTTTTCTGCCCTACTGAGTCTTTTATTTTTATAAAATATTTTTTTTTTTTTCGATTAATAAATTTTCTTTAAAATACTTATTTAATGCTATCATATTAGTTTGTTCCAAGGATAATTTGCTTCTATAAATATAAATGTCAACAGAAATTTTAAGTTTTTTATGTCATTTATACCAGTTTTCGTTAGAATACCAAATAAAACCAAACATATATTTAAAGATAATTCTATTTCTATTTTCTCAAGTATCCAGGAGTTAAGGTCTTCCAATAATTGTGATAAATATGGACAATTTCAGAATATATGTTCTTTTGTGTCGACCAATCCACAACCAAAACTACACTTATCGGTAATTTGTTTTCGACTTATGAGTTTGAATGTCCCTCTGGTATATTTCGCCTCAGTTTTATTTGTATCTTTCAGTTTTATTTTAAAGAGAAGTTCATTCATGCCTAAAATTCGATGTATTATTCTGTATTGAAACAACTGCAGTATTGAATTCTTGGTAATATAAAACGGCAATGTATGGATATTTTTCCAATTGTAGTTTGTATTGAGAATTATGGACCTTTTTGTTCACATTTCAGTTGAAGGTTTGACTATTTACTATTTAAAATATTATACATATCTCTCAAACCTCTCGGGGATTTAAAAAATATTTTTATAACTGAGGGAAAAATTGGGCCGTTTTCTCTTAATAAGTCAGTGGGAAATATTTTATATTCTTTTAAAAACTTTTTTTTTGCAAAAATTAAGCCTTGATATGTAAGGAAATTAGTTTTAATTTTGTATACTTTTTAGCTAACAAGTCATTAATCAGCCAAACCCCTTTTTTAGTCCAATCTTTATATAAAACTGATTGATTACCAATCTTTATTTCATCAGTCTTCCATATATTGCATATATTAATTTAAGAGTTATCTTGTTTATTTGGAAGATCATTCTAGGCATCAAATACTTCTTTCCAAAATTGATTTTTCAGCTTTTTATCATGGCCAAGAAATTGGATTTTCAAAATATTCCAATTTTCTGAAGAGAGTAGTAATTCTTCTCATCCAGGTTGATTTAAAACCTTTTAGGTTGTTTTCAATGTTTATCATCTTTAGACCTACTGAACAGTGTGGTTTGGATAAAGTGTCTCTTTGAAGTTTTTTTGGTTTGTTATCCCAGATAAAGTGAAATGTTTTGTCAGTAAAAGGATTAAGTTTTGTACTATTTGGACGAAGTATGGATAGGAATAAATGGTTTAATTTTTATATTATAAGTGTTTTTATGACCGTTATTTTTCCAATTGGGAGAGGATTTGTTTTGTCCAAGTTTTTATGGTATTTTCGATTTCTTTCATCCTGGGGTCATAGTTTAAATTTCCTAAAGATCAACGGAGAAATATGTGATTAAATCCTAATTATCGAACATATAAGGGATGAAATCATGATTACCTTACATATAAAGGATTGAATCCTGGTTACCTAACATATAAAGGATTAAATACTGATTACCTAACATATAAAGGATTAAGTCCTGATTACCTAACATATAAAAGATAAAATCCTGATTACCTAACAATTAAGGGATTAAATCCTGATTACCTAAAATATAAAGGATTAAATACTGATTACCTAGAAATAAAAAGATGTGGTATGAGTACCAATGAGACAAATCTCCATCCAAGTCACATTGTGTAAAAAGTATAGGTCAAAGAACGGCATTCAACACGGAGCCAGGCTGGCTCACACCGAACAGCAAGCTATAAAGGGCCAAAAAATGACCAGTGTAGCCCAAAACCAACTGTCCAGTCTATATAATAAACGAGAAACACTTATGAACTACACCAACAAACAACAACAACTGAACAACACGTTCCTTACTTAGGACAAGTGCAAACAAATGCAGCGGATTTAAACGTTTTAACAGGCGCCAACCTTCATATAAAGGATTAAATCCTGGGTACCTATCATGGACTAAATCAATCGTCAGACTTTAGCAACCAACAGGACGAATGCCATATTTCTGACTTGGTAAAGGTATTTTCCGAAGAAAATGGTGGGTTGAATATGGTTATAGCTAACTAAACCTCCAACTTGAACAGACCATAAGGACGGCTGTGGTCGTCTTTTTGCTCACTGCAATATATGTTGCATAAGGTCAAACAGCTGAACGATATACATTCAAAGAACTTCTCTTGTCCGTTTAACATCTGTCGTTGTAGCTGTTATCTTTGCAGTGGACCAATACATAATTTAAAGTCATTATAACTCATATTTTGACATGAATTGTCTTTTTCTAATTTTATGACAAAATCAATATCTAACTCATTGAAATGACGTTTTGTGAAACGACTCAGAACAAGACCTTTGAGGTAACACATATTTACTTCGCAAATTTGTCCTCAGTCATTCGAGAAACAAACACATGTCAATTAGACCTGATACTAGAATATTAATAGTTGCTGAAGTTCTGCTTAGTGGAGTCTTGCTGTTATGTTCAGGGTTAACTGTGTGTTAATGCCTTGAATCGTTATTTATTTGTGTCTTACAATCTTTTGGTGACAAGAGTATCTGATCAGTGTAATTTATACATGTCAAAGACTAAACCACCTGTCAATATCGTCGAAAATGACATTGTCGACACAATATCGATGAACTTATACGTCCATGACATAACACGATGTCGATTTTGTTGCGACACCAATGATAAAACCTGATGTCGATTCGATATCGATGATGACTGAAGATAATGGAATAAAAAAAAAGACACATCAATCTGATAAAATTAAGACCGAATATAAAGATTAATAAAGAGTAAGATCATGGCTGATTGTAATCAATTTATTTTTTCCATTGTATTTAAACAAGATAATCAAGTGGCCATCTCTCAAAATAACTCTATTATGGAAAAAAATACTTTATCTTATAAAAATAATTGTATATTTCGTTGTAGAACGTTGACATGGTAATTTATGTGATAACTTTGTGAAATATGGTTAAATTTAAAGACCGTAAAATACAGATACAGTACGATCAAGACCAACTATGTAAGATTTAAATTCATTGGATGGGGACTGGTCCATAATTTAAGGAGGGAAAACAGGATTTATTCATTGGTTGAAATTTGATTTTAACAAACTGATTTTAATGGTTTCGAGTACTCTAAGATCGGTACTTTGTAATTTTGTCTATTTGTTTATGTTTTTTGTGCCGATCTTATCAATCAATTATTTTCAAACTAATGTTTACATTTTGTTTTCATGAATTGATTCAAGGGAACCGACTTTGCGCTCATAACCATGTTCAACCCGATATATTCACAATGTGACTGACCATACTTTGGAGCTCTTTGATTCAGTGGCTGTCCTCGGTTGTTTTCTGCATGATTTGATTTTTGTTTATTATGTTTACATAAATGAGAATGTTTGTTTTATCATTTGAAATAATTGACATTTAGATATACCGGTACTAGTGATAATCTTAGTTGAAGACTGCACGGTGACATATTATTGTTGTTTACATTATCATCAGTTTTGTGTCTGGCGGTTTGTTGTCTCATTAGAAATCATTAGAACATCTCATTATCGTTACATTTAATTGAGGTACCTAAACTAACTAAATGAAATGAATAGACAAACAAATTATGAAAAATATTTTTAAATATCAATATGGAAATGATATCGTTGATATTGTCCATATCGACATCTTAAAAGACAAACCAGGAGAAACTAAATGGTCTATAAAGATAACTGTAGCAGATAGACACTTACAACATAATTTGTCGATATTGACTATATGTCGCTGATATCGTTGACCTTTACATCTGAAAAAATACGAACCAGAAGAAACTAAATTGTCTTCTAAGTAGATACCTCTAACATTTGGAGCATAATGTGTAGATATCGCATGGATGTCGTTGATATGGTCAATATCGACATCTTAATCAGACGAACAAGAAGAAACTATATTGCCATTACAGTTAACTGTAGCAGATAGACATTTGGTACATGAAAAGTCGATATCGACTCGCTGTCGTCATATTGTCGTTATCAACATCTGAAACAGACGAACCAGGAGAAACTAAATTGTCTATATAGATAAATGAAGCAGATAGACATTTGGAACATAATTATTCGATATCGACAATTATAACAGATTATTCAAAAGCAACGTGCCAAGTATATAATTTGACCGAAAACAATGAATCGATATCGACGGCTGATTTTGTGTTTGCTCCGACACATAAAGTAAAAGATGCATATTGATATCGATAATATATCGTCGATGTCGTCGATATCGAAACTACAACGTGTTTCTACAATACCTCAACTTTTTTCAGAAAAAAAGCGTCATTGCATTTTGTAGCATACGGGATAATTAATCGATATGTCCTACTTGAAATTTGCTATATACTATTTCTATTTTTAATGTATATTTTTTCAAATTATGAAGTCAATTCTCCTCCAACATTTTGGTATATCTTTATTCTTTATATTTTTCAAATTTAAATTAAATGTTTGTATCTTCATGCACAATTCAGTACCTTCATTTGCTGTTGGAGAAATTACAATATGACACCGATAAACTGTTTTGAAATATATTTGACATACATAGGAATATTTACTTCTACTTGACATTTTTTTAACGATCATATACAGCAATGAGGAAGTATAAAAACATTACCATTTTAAGTTTGTTCCTATCATTTGGACATATTTTAAATGGGTTTTGTTGTTGTTTGTTTCTAATAACCATGAAGTTTTTATTGTAATTGTCAGAAAAACTATGAAAGCTGAGGATAACAAGTTTGGTATTGTGTGAGGAACTTTTAAATTAATGGTAAGCAATTTTTTTATTTCCTATTGATATTATTAATGCAAATGATGATGAATTTTAACACTTTTATATTTAGTATCTATAGCAATAGACCATTTGCAGTCGAAATGTAGGATTTAAAATATAAGCAAAGAAATAACAAACAGACCAGTTTCAATTTTAATAACAAACGGTTCTGATTTAATTACACCAGATGCGCATTTCAACTTAATGTCTCTTCAGTAATGCTCGAGACCAATATATTTGAAAACCAAAAACGGTAATACAAACTTTGAAAAGCAAATAAAAAAAAAATAGACATAAAGTATAGCCAAATCCGAAAAAGGAATCAGAGCTTTATAGGAGGGAGATACATTCCTTAATTTTAGACAATTTTCCAAATGTAACCGTTTGGAGAAAGAAAAGACCACCATAGATGTAATCTGAATAAGCACAATTGAAACGTATATTTAAAACGAAAAAAAATGCCCTTCTAACTCCGAAAAATGTAGTGATTTAAAATCAGGACAAAAATAGGGGAGATAAGGACATTTTAAGATACGCATTTTTATTCATAGTCAGATGGACATGTACGATGCAACAAATTTATGAATCAAATATACCTTTTACATAATGGTATGCAAATGACGGCTTGCCTCTAAATTTTTAGAACAGGAGTGTTTTCTCATATGAATTAATCGGATATAAAATACACCATCTATTAACACCCATATTTTAGAGTTGCAAGTTGAAATATGTGAATAAGAATAATGATAACATGGGTTTGTTAAAATGATTGGAATAGAATCACGGGTATCAAGCATTTACACATATAACTCTGAATAACAAAATGAGAATACTTCAAAAAAAATAAATGCTATTAAGAAGATTCCTGATTTTGACGTCATTTCGACAGAATCCCAAAGACATATTAAAGACAACACAAAACTTTATATTTAAGTTTAATTTTAAAGTGACCAAATTTCTAAAAATTACAAGTGTCTCTATGAAGTAGAATGTTATTTCTCTATTCATACAAACAAACAAAAAATGTCGAAGTAGGGTATTTTTTCCGTTGTTAAAATGCGTTTAACTCTTGTTAATATGATAAATATTCACATCAATGTTTCCGTCCGCATGACATCAAGTACTTCATGATTGTTTTACTACCTACGCTTTCCTATGATATACAGTTTTTTTAATTGCATTTTAACACTATGATATATATACCATTATAGTTATTTATTCTCCTAGGTTTATCATCAGGAATATGAACAGTCTCTCTTTAATTTTCCTTTTCCACGTGTTAACTGGAATTCATGGAAAAGGTGAGTGAATGGGCTATTGAAGCGTTTCATATTTAATACGTACCTGACTGCTATGAAACCATAATTGTCCTAGAACTTAATATGGCAACAGGATAAAACAATTCACAGTGTAAAACACAAAATACTACGATATATCAAAAGCAATTAAATATAATAGAAGAGAGGTGAAATGTAAACCTGACATATGAAAAAAAAAATCGCAATTTCGGACTGTGGGGCAGGGATAAGTCACATTCACTAAACACATGTAAAATGATTCCCTTCCTAGGAAAACACATTTCAAACAAGGAAAAACATAATGTAAGTGTTCAGTTAGTGACGGAAAAACGTTTATTTGGTATGTATAGTAAAAGAGAGGCGAAAGATACGAAAGATACCAGAGGGACATTCAAACTAAATAGTCGAAAATAAACTGACAACACCATGGCTAAAAAGGAAAAACACCAACAAACAAACAATAGTACACAAAACACAACAACATAAAGAAACCAGAAACTGTTGGTGATCTCAGGTGATTCTGCCTAACATGTGACTCCAGTCGTGTTTCTCATGTTCGTACAAACTTGTAATCAATTTAAATGAACAATTTCTATCAAGTTGTCCCGAAATAAATCTCTACTGCAATTCTTAAAATTAAGATATCAATACCAATTCTGTTTTGTACTTATACTAATATTAATATACTAATACGTAGTTGTATTCATTTTGCTTTGTCTTCTGATTCTATTTTACACTAAAACAAGTAAATCTGTGTTCTATAGATTTGAATAACTTGTTATTAGTTAAGGTAACGAACGAATTGATATGTTATGCATTCTTAGAATAACAAAATATGTTGACTGCCTGGAATGATTTCGAATTATAATTCATAATTAGATAAAATTGCTATTACAGAAAATTGGCATTGCAAAGATTACATAGACATGGACAAGTTGTTTTCGTGCCTTTACAAATACAATCATAAAAAGTTACAGTGTATAGAAATTGTAAAGATGGCGATTTATGGTGGTATGTTTATTACTAATAGTTGTTTATTATTAAAACCATTTACATTAAAACAAAACAGTATTAAAATACTTTAAAAAATGTAATTGAAATGACACAACACCATGTCAACATTTCAGGAGCCATTATAAAATTCTGGTTCTTACAAGTGTTCAACAATTTTCGTTTATTTATCCATCCAGTGTATCATGTAAGGATTAACAAGTGAGTAGACTTACTCTACGGACATCTAAAGAAGAGTTAATCGTATATGGGTTTTGCTATTCTTTAATTCCATCTACTCGGCTTCAAATTTGGGAGTTTAACGTTTGAGGTAAGTTCAGGTAACGATTCGGACGTAAAAAATGTTTTGGATTATTTTAAGATACCATGCTTCATTCGACTTCATTATATTCAACAAGAGCTAGTTATGAAATAGTACATAAAAATCCGTGTCGATAGTTTTTTTCAAATGTAGTCTGCAGTTTGCTTAAACTGACTTCTAATCGACTTTGGATACGTGCTTTTAGTTGTGTTTTGAACGCAGGTGTTTTTCATAATAACACATTGTCTGAATTTTTTACTCTGTTAATTTTTCAAAATATGTTTATAGAAAATTGAAAGGAAAGGAAGTCCTACATTTTATTTTTGATATTGACTTTGAACTGAAGTTCATTATGAAATATACACGTTTGCCAATTTCCCTTTCTTGTGTGTTTGAACACTTAACATCGTCTTTGTTAATAACGTCCCGTGTATGGAGTGTGTCACACTCCTAGCAGAGCACATATCACCTTCAAAAGTTGTCTTATTTCAAGCCGCTATTGAAAGGCTGATGCGAGTTATTCCAACCGAACCTAATTATATTTTTATTGTGGCAGAATTTCTCCCACATTGCGTCCAATCAATCAGTTGAACACTTAACAATGTATAATTTTAGTTTGAGCATTACTCACGATGTTAGATATAGAAAAGCGCTTCGGACGTACACGAATTACAAAAGCTAATTTTATTTGAAAGCATTTGATTGGTTGTATGACGATTACAGTTAAAACTGATAATTTAGCCTCTTAAACTAATAGTACACACCTAAGTTGGAAACAAAAACTTTCAGCTGTTATTTTTTGCCGCTAATTTTTTTCGCTAGTTTTCAAAATAATTTTGATAAAATACCATTGAGAAAGGTTATGAAAAAAATGTCATGCCGTCCTAGGCTAAAAAGTTTCAAATATTTCATTTCATGGTTTATTTCGATTTATTGATCATGTCATATAAATTCGTAAAATCCAGCCATGAATAAAACTTTAACTGATGGATGTTTGGTGAAACAGTCAAAGCTTTTATGTACAGACGGTGACGGAAACAACAAATGTAAGAAAAAGGAATGCAGACAAGTATTGTCGTTTGCCAAAGGTACGTTAAAGTTTTGTTGTGGGAAAATATTGTTTAAGTTAGTCCAACATTTTCCATACTCGATGGAAGAACAACCATGTGTTTTTAACACTTATATTTTAGTTGTTGTTCTAAAGTCAATGATGCTTCGTATCCGACATATGTAAAATGTTACATTTCATATATTAATCCTGTATCTTTGTTCATTCAAATAGACATAGTACCACCACCATTCAGCAACACAGTGAAAAACTTAGACATCAGTTCTTGAATTGAGACAGTTTTAGCCGTTTTTAATGTTATTGGTTCAGTGTTCCACACTATACTTTAGATATAAAATGAATTATAGAAAATTAAGTTGTACTCACTGATACTAAATTGCAAGTCTACCAAAAGTGGTTAAAGTCAATAAATAGACAAGAAACGACTTATTATAACATTGCCTATGATAATGATTAACGATGTTTTCGTTTTGGAACCTTTATAGCGCAATATTGAACAAAGATGAGATTGAACCGTTTTACATTTTTCATCTTTAACGTTTATTCTTAAAGGAGAAACATTTTACAGCACTGGCGTAGGAAACGGTAAGAGGACAAGGGTTGCAACTGACAGACTCTCTTTGGGAAAACTTTTTAAAATGAGAATTAAAAAAATTCACTTCTACGCCTCTGAACCAAAAAACAATATGTTCCTTTCTAAATTCGTATTCGTCTCGGTTTAATAAAATTGAGAATGGAAATTGAGAATATGTCAAAGAGACAACAACCCGACCAAAGAGCAGATAATAGCAGAAGGATCCCACAGCAGAGGCGGGCCTCAGCTTACCCCTGAATAAAAATGTGTACTAGTTCAGTAAAAATGGACGTCATACCTAAACTCCAAAACATATAAATAAACTAAAATTAAAAAATATACAAGACTAACAAAGGCTAGATGCTCCTGACTTTAGACAGGCGCAAAAATGATCTTTTAAAGAAGAAAAACTCTGACCATGTTGTTTGTAATTTTGCAATTTTATTGTTTTAAAATAGATATGCCTAATATTTCTATTTCAGAAAGTGTACGCAATCAGCAGAATCTGAAAGCAAAGGAAAAAGGTAAAAGAGGTGACAAAAGGTACCAAAGTACCAACAAAGAAAACAAGTAATAATAATGGTATATGAGTCAAGACTTTTCAACTGAATTATACATTAATGCATGCAGAATTCATAATTACACAACTGTGTAGGTTAGTGGTAGGCTTATTCACAGTTCTCAAAAATATATTGTTTCCTTTCTTTGTTTTCTTGTCTAGGGTCAGGAGCCTGAAATCTAGTTTTTTTTATTGTTGTCTGGTATAATTGTATTCACCGAATATCTAATTAGCTCAAAACTTAAAGTATAAATTGGTTAGATTTTTCTTTTGATTGTTTTATATTTAGATATCTCAGGGCCTATAACATGTCTAAATGGTACTCCTTGTTGAAGGCAGTACAGAAGACAAATACGTGACATACATAGGTATAAGAAGATGTGGTATGAGTGATAATGAGACAATTCTCCATCCAAGTCACGATTTGTAAAAGTAAACCATTATAGGTCAAAGTATGGCCTTCAACATGAAGCCTTGTCACACAACGAACAGCAAGCTATAAAGGACCCCAAAAATTACTAGTGTAAAACTATTCAAACAGGAAAACCAATGGTCTAATCTATATATAAAAACGAGAAACGAGAAACACTTATGAACCGCAGCAACAAACGACAACTAATAAACATCAGGTTCCTGACTAAGGACCTTTTCCAAACATGCGGCGGGTTAAAACGTTTTAATAGGCGCCACCCTTCACCCTAACCTGAAACAATAGTGTAACATTACAACATAGAACATGTAGAAAGACTCAATACATTTTTTGGTTGAAGAGAAGTTAATCTATTTATATAGATCCGTGCTATATATAAAAGAAGAGATTAAGGTTTTAACAAGAATAACAGCACGCAAATTATTCCCGTTATTCCGGTATATTTTGTATAAGCGTTCCTGATGAAGGTATATCCAGAGCCTCGCTTTGGACACATACAATTGAAGTGTTATTTTCATTTTGTAACAAAAATCAAACAGATTTTATTCAAGTAGAGAGTGTCATTTTTACAGGGGTATTTTAGCTTAAAATGCACCGGCCATAGCAGATGATTATTTACTATAGCAATATAATTTCACGATAGGAACACTATAATAAATACTCTTCAATACCCGTTATATGGTTCAATTATTTGATTGAATAGCTCATTGGGTACCATATTCAAATTTTATACAACATCAGCTACTAAGGAATACGCAGTAAATCTCTATTCTTTTTTGTAGATTCACAAAACTGCGATGATGATACAGGCAGCCAAACAGACAATATAGACAATAGTATGAATGGAAATGAAAATGAAAGAAGGAATGACAAAAACAACAAAAGGAAAAACGGAAAAGAAAGTAATTGAATTGATTGATTGCAAATAAATAAAGGAATTTTTACTTATGAAAGGTAGACGCCAATGAAACATTAACCTAAAACCTCAACAAATTCAGTCAAAAGTAAATTAACGTTCTACAGAAAAAAGTCTCAATACAAAGCTTTAAATCGCACAAAGGCAAGACAAGTTTTACTGCAAAAGATTTGATATTGTCAAAACAAAATTCTCTCTTTGATTGCAATCTTAAAGATACAAAAAAACACTAAACAACCATGTAATGAGATTTCTGATTTTGGACAGGCATAATATAAGTTATCTTCGTTATATCCGTAGATATTGGGTTTTTACCGATGGGTGTATAGGGTGTTAAAATACTCTACGGATATAAACGTAGCTGTTCCAGCTCCACATGTGCATCCGTCGTTTTACCTTAGTTTAGCTTGTTACCATTATGCCTAATCTTGCCACTACAAGCTAGGAGTTATTTGATTCCTGCAAGTAATCAGCAGACAATTCAAGTTTATGTCAATACATTGACTATTAGACGCTTGGTACTTTTGTATAATCCAAAAATAATAGTAATGTGTAAAATAAGTAAAACACATGGTGTAAAAAATATTAAATATGAAGGTTTGTCAGCTTTTAATATTATGATCTCAATCGTATTCTTTATCTGCCATGCCGTGGACTTTAATTTCTTTTGTTTGCAGTCTGATTAGTAAACTTTTGTTATCCGTATGAAATAAAAAAAAAAAAAAAACAATACTAGTACGTTATTTAGATTTGATGCGCCCGAAGCTCTTTTTTGGATTTTCCTTCATCAGAAACGCTCAAAGCAAAATATTTGAAAGCCAAGGATTAACAAAACCGAAACAATTGAGGAACTGTATGACCAAACATCACCTAATAAAATAGCCAAATCCATAGTATTTCTCCCTTAGCCAACTTTGCCTGAGGGAGTTGAAACCTTAGTTTCTTTATAATTTCAAAAATTATAAACGGACAATTTCAGAAAAGATTTTTTTAAAAATCATGTCAGTACCGATGTACTGATTACTTAACCTCGGGGACTGATACTCCACCAACAGAGGTATCGACCCAGTGATATAAAAAATGAAAACAACATGTTTTATAAATTTCATGCGTCCGAAGCGCTTGTCTTGATTTAACTTCATCAGGAACACTCAAAGCAAAATATTTGAAAGCCAGTGATTCATAAGAACCAAAACAATTGAAGAGTTTAAAGAACAAAAATTACCTAATAAAATAGCCAAATGTATCTAAGGCCAACTTTACCTGAGGGAGTTGAAATCTTAGTTTTTTATAATTTCAAAATTGAAAAACAGACAATTTTAGAAAGGATTGAAATATGAAATTGTTCAATATGTTTCTGCAAAGTACATAACATACATACATATAACTCATTTGTTAATGTGTCATCTTTTTCAGAATTATTCAAACTTGGAGCAATAGTTGGCATCTCAGTTGGAATAACAGGCACAATCATATTAATTTTTACTATACTCATTACTATTTTTGTATGCAGACAAAGGTAAATTGATTTTCGTTCGTTTCATCACATTATAAATGGTGTTGAACGATAAGCCTTTTCTATGTAGTACTTTGTAAACTTTTGTGCATCTTGTCTTTTCGTGTCTTTTCATTTTTGTGCTATGTTTGTGGTGGACTCTTTTCGACTTTTGCTGTTTGAATAGTATCGTATGTCTCTTCTTTAAATTCCTTTTCACATTGAGACTGCATGTCTTTTTATGTATTTTTGTTTTTCAATTTTTACAAAAAGAAAAAGTAAAATCACAAAAATACTGAACTAGGAGGAAAATTTAAAAAAAGGAAAGTCCCAAATCAAATGGCAAAATCAAAAAAACAAACACATCAAACGAATGGATAGCAACTGTCATATTCCTGACTTGGTACAGGCATTTTCTTATGTAGAAAATGGTGGATTGAACCTGGTGTTAAAGCTAGCTTAACCTCTCACTTGTATAACAGTCGCATCAAATTCAAATTGATCGTGTCACATTTCTGACTTCAATGATCTACTATCAACTCATGATTTACATAAAAGTACCGATTATCATATTGATAATTTCTCCAGATAAGGCCAGCACCAAGTCAGGAATATGACAGTTATTTTTCATAACTTCTTTTGGTTAATATAGTCAGGGTTTTGATTTTCAATAAACTTTCCCTTTTGGAATTTACCTTGGAGGTCGGTTTTGGTGTTTAACCCTTTTTGAATTAATTGTTCCTTCATAAATTATGCCGATGTAAATTTGAAAATAAGGTTTGACAGCATTCGTATGCTCTTGTTGTAAGATACTAGTCAAGATTTTAATAGTTAATATGTTTTTAAACCTTTATTTTAATTTTCATTTATAACATTTATATTAAACAGATCAAAGAAAAAGAGAAAGCAACAGACAAGACAACTGTCTATCAATCAAAGACTTGAGATCGAAAATTATGAAAGTGGTGCATTCAGTACAGACAAGGGAGGATACAATGTTCTTTCTACTAACAAACCTTTAAATGCTGACGAAGCACAAGGCGAATACTTTGTTCTCGATCCCTTCATTACAAAATATGATAAAAACTTGAGCAACCGGAAACTACCAGAAATTACAAGGTTCAGTGGTGCAGAGGGTGACGAGAATGTTTACTACGAGATTGATGAAGATAAAATCAAATCCTCGACAGATATGGGGGGAGTTGACCAGAAGAAAATAGAAGTTATTAATAAAGGTTCTTACCATAGTGACCAGACAAGATATGAAGTCCAATTAGGGTATAGCAATATATATTTTCTCATTTGAATTGTTTTACGTTTAATTATATCTGGGTCTTTAACAATTTCCTATGAAGCAGGTTTTTCTGATGGGCGTACGTTGATCAAAAATAAAATCACAAAAATACTGAACTCCGAGGAAAATCCAAAACGGAAAGTCCCTAATCAAATGGCAAAATCACAAGCTCAAACAGCAAACGAAATGACAACAACTGTCATATTCCTAACTTGGTGCAGGCATTTTCTTATGTAGAAAATGGTGGATTAAACCTGGTTTTATAGCTACCCCAGCCTCTCACTTATATGACAGTCGTATAAAATTCCATTATATTGACAACGATGTGTGAACAAAACAAACAGACATAATAGGTAAACATGTCAAAAATAGGGGTACAGTAGTCAACCTTGTGTTAATAATTTAATCACTTTAAAACAAAGAGATATATTAACAAATATTTAACATGACACAATAACACAATGAAGGGGTATATAAGTACAGAGCCATGTCACATGCAAGAAAGAAACACAGAAAGGCACACAGACAAAGCAAATTAGCAAAAACGAAAGACATGAAACTAGAAAATATCATAGAACAATAGATCTTCTTCATTATCTTTCGGGAGGACAATTGTCTCATCGCAACCATGCCACTTCACCTAATTTTATATTTGTATTGTGTTGAACATCAAATCTTCTACAACACCAATATGACGAAAATCTGATAATTGATTTATCGAACTATATTTTTTCCATGATTGAAACAATTCGTTGTATGTTTAACAGCAATTGGGAATAGAAAGTCGGGCATTTATTATGAAAATATGATAATTGTTTTTTTTTAGGTCGGATTATGCTTGTATTACGTTATTTGATTTTAAGAGATAAGCAGAGTGATAGAGTCAGAACAAAGACTGATAAATACTAGTTTGCTATTACATACAAAAACAAGATCCAAAAAGTATAATAAATTAATTCACTAAAAGTTATTTTAAAAATGTTGTTGTGTGTAAAATCTTTGTAGTAAATGAATGTGTTATAATTTCTAACGGAGCATTCATTGTAAGACGATCTATTTTTTTTTTATTTTTTTTTTTTTAAAAGACGGCCACAATTAAACTTCAAATTAAAAGAAAATATAAAAAAGAAGATGTGGTATGATTGCCAATGAGACAACTATCCGTAAGAGACCAGATGACACAGGAATTAACAACTATAGGTCACCGTTCGACCTTCAACAATGATCAAAGCCCATACCGCAAAGTAAGCTATAAAAGGCCCCGAAATGACAAATGTAAAACAATTCAAACGAGAAAACTAACGGCCTAATCTATGTACAAAAAAATGAACAAAAAACAAATGTGTAACATATCAACAAACGACAACCACTGCATTACAGGCTCCTAACTTGGGACAGGCACATACATACAGAATGTGGCGGGCTTAAACATGTAAGCGGGATCCCACCCCTCCCCCTAACCTGGGACTGTGGTATAACAGTACAACAAAAGAACGAACTATAAAAATCAGTTGGAAAAGGCTTTACTCATCAGATGGATACAAATAGAAATACATATAACAAAAACACAGAGTGGACGTAGTCGGGTACTTGTATATTCCAACAAAAAAAAGACACTAAGTACTGATCTGAGAGTACTCGCTGTTTCTGACAGCTAGTTCAAAGCCACTAACAACTAATAAAAAAATTATGCATCTTAGACTAAATTATCAATCAGTTCACATCCAACATCCAATGGATTAAGTGTAAAGACGTCATAAACATTCAGAGAAAAACATTATCTTGTGCAATGCCACGATACAGGTATCGACAGATTGTAGATCCATGAATGTGTATATGTATTTAACAATAATATTTAGTTTGCTTTTAATTTACTGATTACAAAATCAATATTAATACCAACAAAAACAATACTAAATGACTTAATTACAGTGTTGAATTGGTAACCTTTTAGAATAAGTTTATTTAAAGGATCGATAAGTTTACCAGGATCGTTTCTAAATTTCAGGGCACGGTAAACAACATTTACGTAAAAATTAGGATGTGCTATCCCGTTTGAAATGAGTTTTCTACAGGTACAACCAAACTTCAAAACCAAATCTTCATATATATTGAGGAATTTAGTAAAGATTTTAAGTAGTTTGTGGTAACGAAATCGCTGGCATAATAATTTACCAGTAATACATAGATTACGTTCTTCAAAAATCAAAACTGTCACAACAGACACGGGCATAGCGATCTAGTTGAGAAATATAAACACCGTAAGATATTATCTAAAAGGCAATTTAGATAATATCCCCTTTTTAAATTACAAGTATTAGTGGATCGTTATTTATGTATTACTTTCAATCTTTTTGAATCATTTGACTTGCAAACTTTTGGAATTACGAGAATTCCACAACAAAAATATTTCGCTGTTAAATTTTGATAGTTGAACAAATTGTCCGTCATACATTATGTTGACAAAAAGGTTTAAAATCAGGTTTGACAGCATAATAATTGTGTTTTCCTATTCTGATGCGTTCGTTGTAAGATACCTGTCAAAAGGCTAAAAGTGAATATATTAAAAACTTTTTTCGTATAACTAATTTTAACATATATTATATTTTACAGATCAATAAAAAAGAAGAGGGAACAACTGACAAAACAACAGTCTGTAGACCAAAGAAGTGAGATTGCAAGTCTTGAAAGTAATCCTTTCAGTACAAATAATGATACAAATACTATTCTTTTTGCCTACGAATCTTTAGATACTGACAAGCCACAAGGCGAGTACTTTGTTCTTGAACCCTCCATAACGAAATATGACAAAGACTTGAGCAGCCTGGTCTTACCAGAGATCAAAAGGAGCAGTGTTGCCCAGGGTGACGAGAGAGTTAATGAAATTGATGAAGATGAACTCCAACCCCGGACAGATATGGAAGGCGTTCGCAAGAAGCCAATAGAAGAAGTTAAAGATAAAATTTCTGACCATGGTGACCAGAAAATATATGAAAGCCGAGGGTATGGCAATATATATTTTCTCGTTTGAATTGTTTTACGCTTTGTTATGTCGAGGTCTATTACAACTTTCTATGCTGTGGGCTTTGTTCATTGCTGAAGGCCTTACGTTAACCTATAGTTGATTATATCTTGGTCATTTGTTTTATGGTGAATAATTGTCTCATAGCAATCATATCACAAAATTTTAATTCCAAATTCGTTTTTTTTCAACAGCAAATATTCTACAAAATTGATATGATAAAACCCTAATAATTGATTTATTGGATTATATATTTTTTTTCATTATCTGTTTTCTGTTTTCCTTCACACTTGAAGAGAATTTCGGGTCAATCATTATGGCACAGTAATAAGTCTGGGTCAAATTTGTTGACGTTTGGTCATGTTTGTTTCATGTTTAAAGCCGTATTAAATATTTTTTTTAAAGAGCTGAGCTGAGTTATTGAGTCGGAGGGAAGACTGATAATACTTGTTTGCGATAAAAAAAAAAATAGTGGAGAAAAGTGTAATAAAATAATTTACAAAATAATAATTCTAAAAAGGCATTGTTTGTAAAACTTTGGTAATAAAAGATATTAATGAATTATTTACGGATTTCAGTGGAGAATTAAAAAAATAAGAGAACATTGAAACTATAGTTATTTTATGTGTCATTCGTCGTTTTACCATTTAATTATTTTGTTCTTTTCAAACAATGATGGCCACAAGTAAACGACACTTTGAAATAAAAAAAAAATAAATTATAAAATATCATCTTTTATCAAAGACATTATTGGATATCTATATATATATATATGTATTGCTAGCATCCTGTGGTATTATTAAAACTTGGAAATACGAGAATTATAAAAAAAGAATTTCGCCATTAAATTTTAAAAGTTGAAATGAATGTTCCGTTGCACTTTGTGATCGACGGTAAGATTCTAAATAAGGTTTAACGCAATTTCTTCAAACTCATTTGTTTTCGTTTGTAGTAAGATTCCTTTCAGAATAATAAAAATAAATATTTCACCTTTTTTTACATTCCCAAATAATATCACATACATTTTTACAGATCAACGAAAAATAATAGAGAACAACTAAAAAGACCACAGTCTGTTAACCAAAGAACTGAGAATGCTCATCTTGAAAACAGTCCATCCGGTACAAACAAGGGGGGCAACGTTATTCTTTCTGCGAACGATTCTTTAGATACTGACGAGGCGCAAGGCGAGTACTTTGTTCTCGATCCCTTCGTTACGAAATATGATAAAGACTTGAGCGGCCGGGTCTTACCAGATGTTAAAAGGTTCAGAGTTGCACAGGGTGATGAGAACGTTTACAATGAAATTTATGAAGATACAATTGAATCCTCAACAGATATGAATAAAGATCAAGAGAAGCCGATAGGAGAAATTGGGGATATAGTCATTTGCCATAGTAATCAGACCAACAATGAAATCCAATTAGGTTTTGACAACACATCTTACCATGTAAGATAAGAAGCGGACGATGAAATTTTCTAGGAAACAAAAGTACTGACACAAATGTATATAAGTGTTGATATATATCATATGAAATTGTTTACTTTATTTTATGTCTATATTTAGTCTAAGATTCCTTAATATTGTGTGCTTTAACGACAATCAAGGACCATTTACATATGGTTTGATTAAAGAAGTAGAAAATACATTAGAAAATCCAATTTTTTTGGCAGAATCATACTGATTTTTATCATTGTCAAACAAAAATAATACAAAAATTTTCCTATTCTTTATTTAAGACTTGATGGTAAAACTTACTAAACAATCAATGCTATTTTTGTATGCCAATCTGTTAACTACTGCGTTAATTTACACATAATACAAGAATAAAATTACACCATTTACATATAGTGCAAAATAACTAAAATAAAACAGAATTAACCTAATACGTCTAACACATATCGTTTAGAGATGTATTTACTAAAATGGTGAAGTGATAACGTAATATATACATTAAACGCATGAATTTTTGAAATGTTTTTGCTATTCCTAATAATTTTTTACATTATTTTATTTAAATAAAAGAAGTTCAGACAGTGCGACTTTGGAAAACTATGTATCGCAAGATTTTTTATTGTTTGCCTTTTCTTATTGTCCTGGTATTATCCCGATTAGCTGCGAAACCGTAGCTATTAGATCCTTGTGATATTTTATATGCGGAAACGTATACAAAAAATAGGTAACAGTTTCAAGAAATGAATATTCAAACATAATTGGGTACGTCATACCATGGCACAATATCGATTGAAACGAACTTTATATATTTACAAGCTTTGCACGGGCGATAAATATTGTATAGAATAAGTGCCACCTGAACCTGAGTCGCAATTCGGTACGTTTGAAATTAGAAAAATCCGTAGACAAATGGTCCGCTTATTGTCAAAAAATATCATAAGGACCTAAGAGCTACGATTCCGAAGCTATACCCTGATGCCCCAATAACGAATCGATAGCTTTTGCTCAATACCTCAGTATTTTCAAGGAACTATATCAGGGCCAACATAAAAAACGGCATATAAAGTATTTAACCTATTAAGAAATTAGAAAGAGAAAATAGAAAAAAAAAGATGAAATTAAACTGATTTATTCATTTATTTCGTTTGTTTTCTTCTTGCTTTTGAAATTTTTCGTACAATTGTTCTTTGACATCTTAGCCAAAAGCACAGGGGATAATAAACTACGGACGGATTTCTATTGAGTACTATTTCCTATGTGCAACTTCAAATATTATGGGTCGTTCGACGATCATTTGAGGTTATTCTGGATTCTGCTGAGGTATTGAGCAGAAGCTATCGATTCGTTATTGGGGCATCAGGGTATAGCTTCGGAATCGTAGCTCTCAGGTCCTTATGATATTTTTTGACAATAAGTAAAACACATTGTAGTTACAATTTACTTTACACAGTTCTAGCACCATCATGTCCAGCTGCAGAATTTCAATTCCGTATAGTATTATTTGCTCATGAGGTAATGCGTTACCAGTGTCAGGATTTAATGCTACATATTGTAAGTAAAACTGTTATCTATTATTAATCATTTGATAGCATTAAACTAAGATTTCAACTAACTCCACCAGGCAATGTCCAACTTAAGATTTGACACTCCTAAGTGTTCCAACATCTTGGTCTCGAAAATAATTGATATTACCCAATTGCCGTGGTTACTGAAATCGATATCATGTGCTAAAGTAAGTAAATGGTATACTGTGGTACACCTAAAAACCAATTAAGGTAGAACAAATAAATGACGAACCTTTCTGATATTGATGATACGGGAACAGTAAAAAATTATTTAATTCATATTACCCATCTTGCTTGAATGATCTCATAATGAACCACTACTCGTCATTTATCATTTCCCGCGTTGTCATTGTAATTAACAGATTAAGAATGATTGCTAAGATTTTTAGCAAATAATACCGTAAAGCAACATAATAAAGAGGATCAATCTAAGATAATAGTTGTTTATATACCTTTATCACAGGGTTGTTGTTATATGGGCAACCATTTTCACAACTGTAACCTGAAGGATTGATCAACCTTTTGTCATTTTTTAATTGATTAAAAACGGTATAAAAGGTTCGAGTTTTTCTCTATTTTTAAAAGAAGACCTTCTATTCTCAATTGACATCAGTTGTTGATCAATAAGCATGATTATTCAAGAGAAGGAACAACACAGCTATCAAACTTATGTATATACCTATACTGGTGGACTGTTAGTCGTAGAGGGTATCACAAACCAAGAAGCAGGTACTTTGGTAGTGGCATGAACAAACGGCTATTGTTTTATTAAAATAAGTTGTTATAACGAAATATTTATTCTGTAAAATATTTAGAATACTCATGAATGTTTCTCCTTCATGCATATCTCTAATACCCTCTCCTCTTTAGATTTTTCTTTTGGTTCTTTGCATCTATCAGCTCTTTAACTTTGGTATTAAGTTTTTGATCTTTCAAATAATTCTGCTTCGAGAATCACCAAAGAAACATTAGTTGGTGAAATGCTTATTTAGTGCAAAACTTTGGTAACATTAATGCTATTAATCTTTATGCTAGCAGATATTTTGATATCGTTGCTTAAAGTATTAAGTATTTGTTGAGTATCGGTGGACTAGGCATGATTTAGATAATTGCTTGGAGATCATTATCCAGAACGTTGATTTAAAAAGACAAACAAACAAACAAAAGCTAGAAGAAAACAAACGAAATAAATCAGTTCAATTTCATTTTTTTTTCTATTTTCTCTTTCTAATTTCTTAATAGGTTAAATACTTTATATGCCGTTTTTTATGTTGGCCCTGATATAGTTCCTTGAAAATACTGAGGTATTGAGCAAAAGCTATCGATTCGTTATTGGGGCATCAGGGTATAGCTTCGGAATCGTAGCTCTCAGGTCCTTATGATATTTTTTGACAATAAGCGGACCATTTGTCTACGGATTTTTCTAATTTCAAACGTACCGAGTTGCGACTCAGGTTCAGGTGGCACTTATTCTATACAATATTTATCGCCCGTGCAAAGCTTGTAAATATATAAAGTTCGTTTCAATCGATATTGTGCCATGGTATGACGTACCCAATTATGTTTGAATATTCATTTCTTGAAACTGTTACCTATTTTTTGTATACGTTTCCGCATATAAAATATCACAAGGATCTAATAGCTACGGTTTCGCAGCTAATCGGGATAATACCAGGACAATAAGAAAAGGCAAATAATAAAAAATCTTGCGATACATAGTTTTCCAAAGCCGCACTGTCTGAACTTCTTGTATTTAAATAAAATAATGTAAAAAAATATTAGGAATAGCAAAAACATTTCAAAAATTCATGCGTTTAATGTATATATTACGTTATCACTTCACCATTTTAGTAAATACATCTCTAAACGATATGTGTTAGACGTATTAGGTTAATTCTGTTTTATTTTAGTTATTTTGCACTATATGTAAATGGTGTAATTTTGTTCTTGTATTATGTGTAAATTAACGCAGTAGTTAATAGATTGGCATACAAAAATAGCATTGATTGTTTAGTAAGTTTTACCATCAAGTCTTAAATAAAGAATAGGAAAATTTTTGTATTATTTTTGTTTGACAATGATAAAAATCAGTATGATTCTGCCAAAAATATTGGATTTTCTAATGTATTTTCTACTTCTTTAATCAAACCATATGTAAATGGTCCTTGATTGTCGTTAAAGCACACAATATTCAGGAATCTTAGACTAAATATAGACATAAAATAAAGTAAACAATTTCATATGATATATATCAACACTTATATACATTTGTGTCAGTACTTTTGTTTCCTAGAAAATTTCATCGTCCGCTTCTTATCTTACATGGTAAGATGTGTTGTCAAAACCTAATTGGATTTCATTGTTGGTCTGATTACTATGGCAAATGACTATATCCCCAATTTCTCCTATCGGCTTCTCTTGATCTTTATTCATATCTGTTGAGGATTCAATTTTATCTTCATAAATTTCATTGTAAACGTTCTCATTACCCTGTGCAACTCTGAACCTTTTAACCTCTGGTAAGACCCGACCGCTCAAGTCTTTATCATATTTCGTAACGAAGGGATCGAGAACAAAGTACTCGCCTTGCGCCTCGTCAGTATCTAAAGAATCGTTCGCAGAAAGAATAACGTTGCCTTCCTTGTTTGTACTGGATGGACTGTTTTCAAGATGAGCAATCTCAGTTCTTTGGTTAACAGACTGTGGTCTTTTTAGTTGTTCTCTATTATTTTTCGTTGATCTGTAAAAATGTATGTGATATTATTTGGGAATGTAAAAAAAGGTGAAATATTTATTTTTATTATTCTGAAAGAAATCTTACTACAAACGAAAACAAATGAGTTTGAAGAAATAGCGTTTAACCTTATTTAGAATCTTACCGTCGATCACAAAGTGCAACGGAACATTCATTTCAACTTTTAAAATTTAATGGCGAAATTCTTTTTTTATAATTCTCGTATTTCCAAGTTTTAATAATACCACAGGATGCTAGCAATACATATATATATAGATATCCAATAATGTCTTTGATAAAAGATGATATTTTATAATTTATATTTTTTTTATTTCAAAGTGTCGATTACTTGTGGCCATCATTGTTTGAAAAGAACAAAATAATTAGATGGTAAAACGACGAATGACACATAAAATAACTATAGTTTCAATGTTCTCTTTTTTTTTTAATTCTCCACTGAAATTTGTAAATAATTCATTAATATCTTTTATTACCAAAGTTTTACAAACAATGCCTTTTTAGAATTATTATTTTGTAAATTATTTTATTACATTTTTCTCCACTATTTTTTTTTTTTTATCGCAAACTAGTATTATCAGTCTTCCCTCCGACTTAATAACTCAGCTCAGCTCTTTTAAAAAAATATTTAATACGGCTTTAAACATGAAACAAACATGACCAAACGTCAACAAATTTGACCCAGACTTATTACCGTGCCATAATGATTGACCCGAAGTTCTCTTCAAGTGTGAAGGAGAACAGAAAACAGATAATGAAAAAAAATATATAATCCAATAAATCAATTATTACGGTTTTATCATATTAATTTTGTAGAATATTTGCTGTTAAAAAAAAAAACGAATTTGGAATTAAAATTTTGTGATATGATTGCTTTGAGACAATTATTCACCATAAAACAAATGACCAAGATATAATCAACTATAGGTAAACGTAAGGCCTTCAGCAATAAACAAAGCCCACAGCATAAACAGTTGTAAAAGACCTCGACATAACAAAGCGTAAAACAATTCAAACGAGAAAATATATATTGCCATACCCTCGGCTTTCATATATTTTCTGGTCACCATGGTCAGAACTTTTATCCTTAACTTCTTCTATTGGTTTCTTGCGAACGCCCTCCATATCTGTCCGGGGTTGGAGTTCATCTTCATCAATTTCATTATAAACTCTCTCGTCACTCTGGGCAACACTGCGCCTTTTGATCTCTGGTAAGACCAGGCTGCTCAAGTCTTTGTCATATTTCGTAATGGAGGGATCAAGAACAAAGTACTCGCCTTGTGCCTTGTTATTATTTAAAGATTCGTTCGCAAAAAGAATAGTATTTGCTCCATTATTTGTACTGAAAGGACTACTTTCAAGACTTGCAATCTCACTTCTTTGGTCTATAGACTGTTGTTTTGTCAATTGTTCGCTCTTCTTTTTTATTGATCTGTAAAACATAATATATGTTAAAATTAGTTATACGAAAAAAGTTTTAATATATTCACTTTTAGCCTTTTGACAGGTATCTTACAATGAACGCATCAGAATAGGAAAATGCAATTATTATGCTGTCCAACCTTATTTTAAACGTTTTTGTCGACATAATGTATGACGGACAATTTGTTCAACTATCAAAATTTAACAGCAAAATATTTTTGTTGTGGATTTCTCGTAATTCCAAAAGTTTGCAAGTCAAATGATTCAAAAAGATTAATATCAATAGATGAAAGCAATACATAAATAACGATCCACTAATACTTGTAATTTAAAAACGTGATATTATCTAAAATGCCTTTTAGATAATATCTTCTAGTGTTTATATTTCACAACTATATATATATATAAAGATTTGGTTTTGAAGTTTGGTTGTACCTGTAGAAAACTCATTTCAAACGGGATAGCACATCCTAATTTTTACGTAAATGTTGTTTACCGTGCCCTGAAATTTAGAAACGATCCTGGTAAACTTATCGATCCTTTAAATAAACTTATTCTAAAAGGTTACCAATTCAACACTGTAATTAAGTCATTTAGTATTGTTTTATTGGTATTAATATTGATTTTGTAATCAGTAAATTAAAAGCAAACTAAATATTATTGTTGAATACATATACACATTCATGGATCTACAATCTGTCGATACCTGTATCGTGGCATTGCACAAGATAATGTTTTTCTCTGAATGTTTATGACGTCTTTACACTTAATCCATTGGATGTTGGATGTGAACTGATTGATAATTTAGTCTAAGATGCATAATTTTTTTATTAGTTGTTAGTGGCTTTGAACTAGCTGTCAGAAACAGCGAGTACTCTCAGATCAGTACTTAGTGTCTTTTTTCTTGTTGGAATATACAAGTACCCGACCACGTCCACTCTGTGTTTTTGTTATATGTATTTCTATGTGTATCCATCTGATGAGTTAAGCCTTTTCCAACTGATTTTTATAGCTCGTTCTTTTGTTGTACTGTTATACCACAGTCAATGGTTAGGGGAGGGTTGGAATCCCGCTAATATGTTTAACCCCGCCACATTCTGTATGTATGTGCCTGTCCCAAGACAGGAGCCTGTAATTCGGTGGTTGTCGTTTGTTGATATGTTTCATATTTGTTTTTCGTTCATTTTTTGTACATAGAGGCAGGCCGTTAGTTTTCTCGTTTGAATTGTTTTACATTTGTCATTTCGGGGCCTTTTATAGCTTACTATGCGGTATGGGCTTTGCTCATTGTTGAAGATCGTACGTTGACCTATAGTTGTTAATTCCTGTGTCATCTGGTCTCTTATGGAGAGTTGTCTCATTGGCAATCATACCACATCTTCCTTTATATATTTTCGTTTAATTTGAAGTTTAATTGTGGCCGTCTTTTTAAAATAAAAATAAAAAAAAGAATAGATCGTATTACAATGAATGCTCCGTTAGAAATTATAACACATTCATTTACTACAAAAGTTTTACACACAACAACATTTTTGAAATAACTTTTAGTGAATTAATTTATTATACTTTTTGGATCTTGTTTTTGTATATAATTGCAAACTAGTATTTATCAGTCTTTGCTCTGACTCTATCACTCTGCTTATCTCTTAAAATCAAATAATGTAATACAAGCATAATCCGACCTAAAACAAACAATTATCATATTTTCATAATAAATGACCGACTTTCTATTCCCAATTGCTGTTAAACATACAACGAATTGTTTCAATCAAGGAAAAAATATAGTTCGATAAATCAATTATCAGATTTTCGTCATATTGGTGTTGTAAAAGATTTGATGTTCAACCCAATATAAATATAAAATTAGGTGATGTGGCATGGTTGCGATGAGACAATTGTCCTCCAGAAAGATAATGAAGAAGATCTATTGTTCTATGATATTTTCTGGATTCATGTCTTTCGTTTTTGTTTTGTCTGTGTGCCTTTCTGTGTTTCTTTCTTGCATGTGACATGGCTTTGCACTTATACACCCCTTCATTGTGTTATTGTGTAATGTTAAATATTTGTTAATATATCTCTTTGTTTTATAGTGATTAAATTTTTAACACAAGGTTTACTACTGTACCCCTTTTTTTGACATGTTTACCTATTATGTCTGTTTGTTTTGTTCACACATCGTTGTCAATATAATGGAATTTTATACGACTGTCATACAAGTGAGAGGCTGAGGTAGCTATAAAACCAGGTTTAATCCACCATTTTCTACATAAGAAAATGCCTGCACCAAGTCAGGAATATCTCAGTTGTTGTCCTTTCGTTTGCTGTTTGAGCTTGCGATTTTGCCATTCGATTAGGGACTTTCCGTTTTAGATTTTCCTCGGAGTTCAGTATTTTTGTGATTTTATTTTTGATCAACGTACGCCCATCAGAAAAACCTGCTTCATAGGAAGTTGTTAAAGACCCAGACATAATTAAACGTAAAACCATTCAAATGAGAAAATATATATTGCCATACCCTAATTGGATTTCATATCTTGTCTGGTCACTATGGTAAGAACCTTTATCAATAACTTCTATTTTCTTCTGGTCAACTCCCCCAATACCTGTCGAGGATTTGATTTTATCTTCATCAATCTCGTAGTAAACATTCTCGCCACCCTCTGCACCACTGAACCTTGTAATTTCTGGTAGTTTCCGGTTGCTCAAATTTTTATCATATTTTGTAATGAAGGGATCGAGAACAAAGTACTCGCCTTGTGCCTCGTCAGCATTTAAAGGTTTGTAAGTAGAACGAACATTGTATCCTCCCTTGTCTGTACTGAATGCACCACTTTCATAATTTTTTATCTCAAGTCTTTGATTGATAGACAGTTGTCTTGTCTGTTGCTTTCTCTTTTTCTTTGATCTGTTTAACATAAATGTTATATATGAAAATTAAAATAAAGGTTTAAAGATATATTAACTATTAAAATCTTGACTAGTATCTTACAACAAGAGCATACGAAGGGTGTTTAAATGGTGTCAAACCTTATTTTCAGAATTTACATCGGCATAATTTATGAAGGAACAATTAATTCAAAAAGGATTAAACACCAAAACCGACCTCCAAGGTAAATTCCAAAAGGGAAAGTTCATTCAAAATCAAAACACTGACTTTATTAACCAAAAGAAGTTATGAAAAATAACTGTCATATTCCTGACTTGGTGCTGGCCTTATCTGGAGAAATTATCAATATGATAATCGGTACTTTTATGTAAAGAATGAGTTGATAGAAGATCATTGAAGTCAGAAATGTGACACGGTCAATTGTAAAAATTGAAACACAAAAATACAAAAAAAGACATGCAGTCTCGATTTGAAAAGGGATTTCAAGAAGAGACATACGATACCATTCAAACATCAAAAGTCGAAAAGAGTCCACCAGAATCATAGCACAAAAATGAAAAGCCAAGAAAAGACAAACATGCACAATAGTCTACAAAGTACTACATAGAAAAGGCTCATCGTTCAACACCATTTTTAATGTGATGAAACAAACGAAAATCAATTTACCTTCGTCTGCATACGAAAATAGTAATGAGTATAATAAAAATTAATATGATTGTGCCTGTTATTCCAACTGAGATACCAACTATCGCTCCAAGTTTGAATAATTCTGAAAAAGATGGACACCATTAACAAATGAGTTATATGTATGTATGTATGTTATGTACTTTGCAGAAACATATTGAACAATTTCATATTTCAATCCTTTCTAAAATTGTCCGTTTTTAAATTTTGAAATTATAAAGAACTAAGATTTCAACTCCCTCAGGTAAAGTTGGCCTTAGATAAATTTGGCTATTTTATTAGGTAATTTTTGTTCTTTAAACTCTTCAATTGTTTCGGTTCTTATAAATCCCTGACATTCAATTCTGCTTGGAGTGTTCCTGATGAAGTTAAATCCAGACACATTTGGACGCATGAAATTTATAAAACATGTTGTTTTCATTTTTTATATCACTGGGTCGATACCTCTGTTGGTGGAGTATCAGTCCCCGAGGTTAAGTAATCAGTACATCGGTACTGACATGATTTTTAAAAAATCTTTTCTGAAATTGTCCGTTTATAATTTTTGAAATTATAAAGAAACTTAGGTTTCAACTCCCTCAGGCAAAGTTGGCTAAGGGAGAAATACTTTGGATTTGGCTATTATATTAGGTGATGTTTGGTCACACAGTTCCTCAATTGTTTCGGTTTTGTAAATCCTTGGCTTTCAAATATTTTGCTTTGAACGTTTCTGATGAAGGAAAATCCAAAAAAGAGCTTCGGGCGCATTAAATTTAAATAACGTACTAGTATTGTTTTTTTTTAATTTCATACGGATAACAAAAGTTTACTAATCAAACTGCAAACAAAAGAAATTAAAGTCCACGGCATGGCAAATAAATAACACGATTGAGATCATAATATTAAAAGCTGACAAACCTTCATATTTTATATTTTTTACACCATGTGTTTTACTTATTTTACACATTAGCATTATCTTTGGATTATACAAAAGTACCAAGCGTCCAATAGTCAATGTATTGACATAAACTTGAATTGTCTGCTGATTACTTGCAGGAATCAAATAACTCCTAGCTTGTAGTGGCAAGATTAGGCATAATGGTAACAAGCTAAATTAAGGTAAAACGACGGATGCACATGTGGAGCTGGAACTGCTACGTTTATATCCGTAGAGTATTTTAACACCCTATACACCCATCGATAAAAACCCAATATCTACGGATATAACGAAGATAACTTATATTATGCCTGTCCAAAATCAGAAATCTCATTACATGGTTGTTTAGTGTTTTTTTTTTTTTTGTATCTTTAAGATTACCATCAAAGAAAGTATTTTGTAGTGAAAATAGCAAATCTTTTGCAGTATGCAAAACTTTTCTTGTCTTTCTGCGATTTAAAGCTTTGTATTGAGACTTTTTTTTCTGTAGAACGTTTATGTACTTTTGACTGAATTTGTTGAGGTTTTAGGTTAATGTTTCATTGATGTCTACCTTTCATAAGTAAAAATTCCTTAATTTATATGCACTCAATCTATTCAATTACTTTCTTTTCCGTTTGGGGTGTCGTTTTTGTCATTCCTTCTTTCATTTTCATTTCCATTCATACTATTGTCTATATTGTCTGTTTGGCTGCCTTTATCATCATCACTGTTTTGTGAATCTACAAAAAAGAATAGAGATTTACTGCGTATTCTTGACTAGCTGAAGTTGTATACAATTTTATTATGATACCAAATGAGCCATTCATTCAAATAATAGAACCATATAACGGATATTGAAGAGTAATTATTATAGTGTTCCTATCGTGAAATTCTATTGCTATAGTACACAATCCTCTGCTATGGCCGGTGCATTTTAATCTAAAATACACCTTTAAAAATGACACTCTCTATTGGAATAAAATATTTTTGATTCTTTGTTACAAAATGAAAATAACACTATCAATTTTATGCGTCCAAATCGCTGTTATGGATTTACCTTCACCAGGAACGCTTATTCAAAATATACGTAAATAACAGAAATAATTTACGTACTGTAATCCTTGCTAGAACCAAAATCTCTTATTTTATAGCACAGATCTATATAAGTAGATTAACTTCTCTTCGATCAAAAAACTATACATTTATGTCACATATATGTCACTGTACTGCCTTCAACAAGGAGTACAACTTAGAGGCCCCAGGATAACAAAATGTCAAACAATTCAAAAGAGAAAACTAACCAATGTACACTTTAAATTTTGAGCTGATTAAATATGCAGTAAATACAACTATACCAGAAAAAAATATTAAAACCTCTAAAATCCAGGTTCTTTACCTTAGACAAGAAAATAAAGAAAAGGAAACAATATGTTTGGGAGAACTGTGATCAACCCTACCACTAACCTAGACAGTTTTGTAATTATGAACTATTGATTCATTAATGTATCATTCAGTTGAAAAGTATTGACTCATTTTTCCATCCATATGAATTGTTTTCTTTGTTGATACTTTGTCACCTTTTGTCACCTTTTTTACCTTTTTCCTTTTCTGTCAGATGCTGATTGCGTACACTTTCTGCAATAGAAATATTAAGCAAATCGTTTTTGAAACATTAAAATTACGAAGTAACAAACATCATGTTTAGGGTTTTTTCTTCTCTAAAAGATCTTTAACCAGGACGAATACGAATAAAGAAAGCAACATATTGTTGTTTTGTTTTTGCATTCAGTGGCGTTGAAGTGACTTCTTTTTTATTCTCAATTTAAAAAAGTTTGGCAAAGAGGGCCTGTTAGTTGCCATCCTTGTCCTCTTTCTGTTTCCTACGCCAGTGCTGTCAAATGTTTCTTCTTTTAGAATAAAAATAAATGATGAAAAATGTAATACGTCTCAATCTCATCTTTGTTCAATAATGCGCTATAAGGTTCTAAAACGAGAACATCGTTATTATATCACAGGCAAGGTTATAATATGTCGTTACTTGTCTATTTGTAGACTTTGGCAATCGTTAACCACTTTTGGTAGACTTGCGATTTAGTATCAGTGAGTACGACTCAATTTTCTATAATTCATTTTATATCTAAAGCAAAGTGTGGAAAACTGAAGAAATAAACAAAGATCATAACCAATAGCATAAAAAACGGCTAAAATTGTCTCAATTCAAGAACTGATGTCTACGTTTTACACTGTGTTACTGAATGGTGGTGGTACAATGGCTACTTGAATGAACGAAGATACAGGATTTATATATGAAATGTAACATTTAACATATGTCGAAAACGAAGCAGCATTGACTAAGAACAACAACTAAAATATTTGTGTTAAACAATCACATGGTTTTTCCTACACATCGAGTATGGAACATGTTGGACTAACTTTATTTATATTTTCTCACATCAAAATTTTAACATACCTATGGTAGACGACAATACTTTTCTGCAATCTTCTTTCTTACAGCTGTTGTTTCCCTCACCGTCTGCACATAAAAGCTTTGACTGTTTCACCAACCATTCATCAGTTAAAATTTTATTCATGGCTGGATATTACGAATTCATATAAAATGATTAATAAAAAGAAATAACCCAGGAAATGAAATATTTGATATTTTTTTGCCTAGGACGACATGACATTTTTTCATAACCTTTCTCAATGACATTTTATCAAAAATATTTTGAAAACTAGCGAATAATTAGCGGCAAAAAATAACAGCTGAAACTAAATTAAGAGACTAAATTATCATTTTGAACTTTAATCGTCATACAACCAATCAAATGCTTCCAAATAAAAACGATTTTTGTAAATCGCGTCCGAAGAGCTTTTTTGTATTTAACATTATAAATAACGCTCAAACTAGACTGATACATTGTTAAGTGTTCAACTGATTGATTGGACGCAATGGGGGGGGGGGGAATTTTGACTGCCACAATAAAAATATATAATATAGGTTCGGTCGGAATATTTTGCATCAGCACCTCAATAGCGGCTTGAAATAAGACAACTTTTGAAGGTGATATTTGCTATGCTAGGAGCGTGACACACTCCATACACAGGATATCATTAAGAAAGACGATGTTAAGTGTTCAAACACACGAAAACGAATGGGAAATTGTCATACGAGTATACTTCTTCATGAACTCAAATTCAAAGT